TCTAAGTACTACTGAAAGAAAATCATATATTTTTTGGTTAGTGATGCCTTATTGTCATATTCTCAGTACTTCCACAAAACATACCTCAAATACACATGGTTGAAAGCCAGTGGCTGGTGTTATAACATTGGTGTAATCCCTCAATGTTGACTTGTTGGGTAATTTTAGCACTCCAGATTCTCTAATTGATTCGTATGCTCTAGCGCTTTGGTATTGCAAAAATATTCCAAAACGTATCATCATAGGGTGCCATCGCATGCCTTTAGGACTGGACTTGAATGCCTTTTTCTGCTCTTTCCAAAATAATTCTAACCAGAAGTCTCTGTCGAGACTGAAGCTCTACTGGTTTGTACTTATAGCAAAGGAAGAGAAAAGTACTTAAGCAGTTGGAAATTGAAACTTTTCAACAGCAATAAATAGAATAATGATCCTTGATTAAGTCTCTATATGTTCTTAGTGCAGTCTACTTGCATGCCACATCTATATTATAATCAGACTAAAATTGTATTTGGAGTAGCATTTTGAAAGAATTTCACAGAAATTTCTATTTTTAGTAACCACGGCAACACCGTTCATCGAAATCAAAAACCGATAAACAGAATTATGTATCTTATTGTAGATTACTTGTGTGCCAAGTTATACTGAAATCAGACTAAAACTGTAGAAGGAGTAGCATTTTGAAAGAATTTCACAGAAATTTCTATTTTTAGTAACCATGGCAACACCGTTCATCGAAATCAAAAACCGATACACAGAATTGTGTATCTTAGTGTAGTCTACTTGTGTGCCAAGTTATACTGAAATCAGACTAAAACTGTAGGAGGAGTAGCATTTTGAAAGAATTTCACAGAAATTTCTATTTTTAGTAACCACGGCAACACCGTTTATCAAAATCAAAAACCGATATAAAGAATTGTGTATCTTAGTGTAGTCTACTTGTGTGCCAAGTTATATTGAAATCAGACTAAAACTGTAGGAGGAGTAGCATTTTGAAAGAATTTCACAGAAATTTCTATTTTTAGTAACCACGGCAACACCGTTCATCGAAATCAAAAACCGATACACAGAATTGTGTATCTTAGTGTAGTCTACTTGTGTGCCAAGTTATATTGAAATCAGACTAAAACTGTAGGAGGAGTAGCATTTTGAAAGAATTTCACAGAAATTTCTATTTTTAGTAACCATGGCAACACCGTTCATCGAAATCAAAAACCGATATACAGAATTATGTATCTTAGTGTAGTCTACTTGTGTGCCAAGTTATATTGAAATCAGACTAAAACTGTAGGAGGAGTAGCATTTTGAAAGAATTTCACAGAAATTTCTATTTTTAGTAACCACGGCAACACCGTTCATCGAAATCAAAAACCGATACACAGATTTATGTATCTTAGTGTAGTCTACTTGTGTGCCAAGTTATATTGAAATCAGACCAAAACTGTAGGAGGAGTAGCATTTTGAAAAATTGTTTACAGACGGACAGACAGACGGACGGACGACGGACGCATTACTATCGCATAAGCTCTTCTGGTCTCTGACCAGTAGAGCTAAAAAATAAAGTATCCATGGCGACACCTTTAGACTAAAACTGTTGCAACAGTAACAAAACATTTTAATATTGTACAATTTTAATAACCGTGCTTAGTCTATTCTTAAAATCAGGAACTGAAAAACAGAACTAAATACATATATCTGGTTTTATTGTACTTGTCTACAAATAAAAATCAAAACGGAACAAAGTTATTTTAGGAGAAGGGTTTTGAAAGCTAGGCTATTTCTAATCTGAATAATCCAAAATAAAATCAATCATAGTTTCAGCAGTCCGGAACTGATTTTTTTTTTTAGAAAAACTGTTGGAACTTCAGAATCTCGAACACTGAAATCTCAAATACGTGGACGTGTCGAAGTACTTTGGAAATCCAAACCACTTATTCTTTATGTATTTTACCGTTGATATGTTGAATTCTCAGATATCTCCAAGATTTTATTGGCCCTATCTAGTACAATAATAATGAGGCGTAACCCTATTGTAAACGTATAAATATTGTATGTAGCTGAGTGTGACATTGAAAATTTTCATCCCAGGAAAACACTGTCAACCACGTGCAACTACACTGTATACTTTTGGGATATTACCTGGCGTCAAGCAATGTTTACCGTTGCTATGCTGGAGGGCATGGCTTCTTTTTATAGTGGGTAATAATATTTTTAACGAATGCTTCTTCATGAATCTGATTGAACTAATTTACATGAAATATAGTATTCAGATCTATGGACTTGATGCTTCCCAAAAAGGAAGGCAACATTTCTCTGTTGCAATCTATCATCTGTCCTGGGTTCAGGGCCATAAAACTGAGATGAGCTCACCTTGGATCTCGTTCTCAGTCTCAATTTTAACAAATAGAGAATGAGATAGTACAATTCTCAGTTACCCTTGGACTTTTAGTAAGGCGTGGCATTCTCAGTGCTTCGTAATTAGCATCTGTCAAATGGCAAGGTTTAAGAAATTACTAACATCAAGAACTTTTAACTGTTGTTGATGAGACGACTTAAGCCCCACCTCTTTGCCATACAAAACGCTGTCATTGGCTATTTGCTACACTTGTTGACATTCCGCCGAATTTGTATCCCATGTATATTTCAACAGTGAAGAATAGATGTGTAAATTTCAGAACCTAATTATGTACCGTTGAGAATGCTATGCCTTACTGAAAGTCCAAGGTTAACTGAGAATTGTACTATGAAAAAGTGAGCTTCTCTGTTTTAAATCCTCCAAACCAGTACTCCATTATTTTTATACTAGGTGAGACTGAATGCTGTAGGTACTTAAGAATTCTGTTCCTTAAAACCAGAAGTCTCTGTTGAGACTGTAGCTCTACTGGTTTGTGCTTATAACAAAGGATGAGAAAAGAAGCCATTGCTATTAGACCAAAACTGTAGAAGGAGTAGCGTTTTAAAGGAATTTCACACATTTCTATTTTTAGTAACAATGGCAACACTGTTCATCAAAATCAAAAACCGATGAACTACTCTATCTTAGAGTAGTCTACTTGAGTGCCAAGTTATATTGCAATCAGACCAAAACTGTAGGAGGAGTAGCGTTTTAAAGGAATTTCACAGGAAATTCTTTTTTTAGGTAACCATGGCAACACCGTTCATCGAAATCAAAATCTGATGCACTATTCTATGTATAATAGTGTAGACTACTTGTGTGCCAAGTTATATTGAAATCAGATCAAAATTATAGGAGGAGTAGAGTTTTAAAGGAATTTCACAGAAAATTCTTTTTTTATTAACCATGACAACACCATTCATTGAAATCAAAAATGGATGCACTATTTTATGTATCTTTATGTAGTCTACTTGTGTGCCAAGTCATATTGAAATCAGATCAAAATTGTAGGAGGAGTAATGTTTTAAAGGAATTTCACAGAAAATTCTATTTTTAGAAACCATGACAACATCGTTCATCGAAATCAAAATCCGATGCCCTATTTTATGTATCTTTGTGTAGTCTACTTTTGTGCCAAGTTATATCGAAATCAGATCAAAACTGTAGGAGGAATAGCATTTTAAAGGAATTTCACAGGAAATTCTATTTTTAGTAACCATGGCAACACTGTTCATCGAAATCAAAAACCGATGCACTATATTATGTATCTTAGTGTAGTCTACTTGAGTGCCAAGTTATATTGAAATCAGATCAAAACTGTAGGAGGAGTAGTGTTTTAAAGGAATTTCACAGAAAATTCTATTTTTAGTAACCATGGCAACACCGTTCATCGAAATCAAAAACCGATGCACTATTTTATGTATCTTAGTGTAGTCTACTTGTGTGCCAAGTTATATTGAAATCAGATCAAAACTGTAGGAGGAGTAGCATTTTAAAGGAATTTCACAGAAAATTCTATTTTTAGTAACCATGGCAACACCGGTCATCGAAATAAAAATCCGATGCATCATTTTATGTATCTTTGTGTAGTCTACTTGTGTGCCAAGTTATATTAAAATCAGACCAAAACTGTAGGCGGAGTAGCGTTTTGAAAAATTGTTTACAGACAGACGGACAGACAGACAGACAGACAGACAGACAGACGGACGGACGACGGACGCATTACTATCGCATAAGCTCTTCTGGTCTCTGACCAGTAGAGCTAAAAAACTGTCATCTGGAGGATTTTCTTCGATGGAAGAATAGAGCCCCTCTCCAACGTCATTTGCCACAGTTTCAGTCATACCTATAAGATTGTATGGGTGGTTAGAATCAATTATTAAAGTAAAGAGAAATGATTAAAACAAGATAAAAATTGAATAATAAGTGAAGCTAATAGGTGCTGTGATGCTTTCAAATTTAATTATGCTGTAATCTTGGCAATGTAGTCAATTAAAGGATATGGAACATGCCTCTAATAGATGTAATATTTGTTGTTATTTTATACCTCAGTATTCAAACTGATTATAATATTATTAATAAAACAGAAAATAGTTATCAGTAATCTTTTCCCTCAAAAATCATGAAAGAAAGATTATAAATACCATTTGTCAGAGATTGTATCTGAGTTTTCATCTCTCTTAAGCTCCGTCTAGATGCCTTGACTTCGTTAATAAGTTGCTGGTTTGAAAGACAAGAAAGTGGTGTCTTAGGGTGCATGCTAGATGTCTGTTCAATGATGGTGTTATTGCTGAGAATCTTACACGCTGGACAAAGAGCTGTGGTGTCATCTGAGCTCACACCTCCAGCACATCTCTGTGATCTATCAATATGATCAGTAATGAATGTAATTGTACATGTACTCACAAGTCAAAATGGATAATACTCTATACAGGGAAATTTTTGCCCATTTCATTTTCACCCTTTTTGCCTTACTCACTGATGGGCGAATTTAAAACAGGGTGAATTCAAGGAACACAGTATAACCCTCTAAACAGAACTTCATTTCAATATCAAAAATCAAAAATAATCAAGATGTCTCTAAAAGAAAATATGGTTTAATAAATCGGTATTAAATTACTTTTCTAAAATATTAAAAATTGCAAATACTCATTACATGCATTTGAGTTTTCTTTGATTCAAGTTTGATCCAAAAATTTAATGATTCTATTACCTAACAATAGTTTCCACTTCAGGTTTATTGTCTCTTATTACAGTGGAAACAAATCGATAAACTTTTCCACTGTAATTCTGGCCATCAGGTAATCCCGAGCACTTCCTTACTTGAGACACTTCTTGGAGGAAGTTGCTGATGGGGACCTTGCTTAGATTTGTCTCCTTCATCCTAACCAGTACCTCTGCATGAAAGAAATTTCAATGTATAATTCATTTTCATATGTGCAGGCCAAATGCATGTGATGAAAATCAATCCCAGGTATTTTTCTTTATCACTTTGCATAACAATAATTAAGTTCATTTTGCATTACTAGTATGTTTTAATAAAAAATGGATTAATAGGTTTATAAACACATTTTTTACCCCCAAAGCGGACATTGACATTTAAATAAATGTCCACTGTAACTGTCTTTTGAAGGCATCCAGAGGAGTGATCATATAGTCCAAGAACAAGGACATCACTGTCAGTTTTCAGGATGCTCCAGCCATGGAGGTCTTTATTTTTTAGTGTCTTCTGAAGATCTGACAGGGAACTGTAGGTAACTCTCTCTGGAATAGGTGGCGATGGACGTTTTGTCTACAAAGTATCACATAAATTATAATAATGCCCTTTGGGCGTTATAGAATTTGATCATGTGACCGACTTCATGTCATACCCCAATGAAACTCTAAAAATGACATTTTATTTCTTAAGTTAATGTCTCAGATAGAACTGTGACTAATAACACTATAAGATTGCTCATAAGTAAAGAATCTGTATTGATTTTTATAAATTTAATCATCTGAATAAAAATGTCCCATAAAACTAGTCTTTTATACAACCTACTGCAAAAATTACTCAAGAATAAAAGTATCAGTAACCCTTTTCACAAAAAATCTTACGACTAATTTAAGATAAAAACTTTCCCATTCCTAAACAAGTATCAAAGCTGTAGTAGCCTAGGACATAAAATTATCTTATATTTCTATTACACTAAGTTACGTAGTAAAAATATTTCAAAAAAAAGAAGAAAAAGAAAACATTTATTAAACAAAAAATTACAGAGATATTAGATTTTTATCTTAGTCATAAGATTTTTTGTGAAAGGGCTTCTGTTCTTTTACTTAAGATTTACTCGGCATCAAATAAGCAAAATAATGATATTGAATAATTAGCCCCTTCACGGTAACTGCGGTACTACTCTTTTGCAGGGCAAAATAATAATGTTTGGCGAAATTTTTGTTGAGAGATAATTATATGACGTATATTTAACAATTACTTTTACGTCATATTTCACCAAACTATATCATTTTGCCCTGCAAAAGAGCAGTACCACAGTTACGGTGTAAGGGTCTATTGAAAAAAAAAATCAAAAACAAAACCAGAAAAGAAGAATTATCCAAAAAAAAAAAAAAAAAAAAAAAAAATAGAACAACACTTATGGAAATTATCGTAACTGAAAAATAAATACTAAATTATTTAAACGTGTGTGAAACATTTTTTTTCAGTCAATTACTGGTGCAGGTCTTGGATGTGGGCGGGGTGTCTCTATGCTTTTCCTTGGCATTGCCAGTGTCGGGAGACTTCCCGGAATCAGCTTATATCCTTTCCCTTAAGGATTTCATTTAGGATGTTAATATATGTCAAAAAAATATTTAAAAATATATATATTCAATCGTTGTTTGTATGCTGCCTTACCATGAAACAAAAAACACTTTTTCTCGAAGTGCACGGAACATATATATGTACACTCGGGGTTGAATGCCTTGTCACTCCTGTTGACGGCTGCTATCAGCTTGGATCTCCATTCTGGATCTTTCGGAAATGAGAAATAACTTATGTGACTTGTCTGTCCTTTTGTTTTTTCATTTGAATTGCTGCAACCAACGACGCAGCAGTGTTTCCCCCCCATCGCGAAGTTACAAAATAACGTTAACCGCCATATTGTTTACCCTTTCTATGACTCCCGGTGGGGGCGCTGCGAAGAAAGCAACATCAATTTCATTCGGAACCTTCGATATTTAAAAACAGTGTGAAATAATCCGAAACATTCCGAAGGAGTCGGCAGTCCCCTTGTTATACGTCACTGATCAAACCCAAAAAAGAATGAAAACATCGTTTTCTATTTCCTTTGTCTGTTCTTTTCAGACGGGTGAAACACAATATAGGGCGCATTAAAAATACCACATTGTTATACACGATTTTTAGAAATGTTAACTTCTTTACATGTAATTTATCATAATTCATTTATAGGCATACTTATAAAGGACTTGTGTGCAAAATTTTGTTGATCTAACTTTAACAGAATTTAAGTAAATGCAATAAATGTACCCCAAAAATGACCCTTTTTTAGCGTTATGCGGTTGCGCTTTGAAATTACACCATTTTTCAATTGGAATTATTTTTATATATCATAAATTTTCATGCCAATGATCATTATCAGACTTTAGAATTTATTTTACAAATTATTTTGGTGCTTGAATTTTCAGGATTGAATGACAACTTTTGAAGATATGAAAGAAAATGTAATAGGGGTGCAATGTTATACATTTTTGACATAATTTCACCCCTCTCATTATGCCAAATAAAAATAATGTCCATATTATTTATTTTCTCAGATTTCTGTCTAAAATCACAGTATTAATGCTCTGTTACTTACAGAAAAAAGTTGGGTTAATGTAACAATTGAAATGAAATTTCATCATGTTTTAATGTGGAAAATTAAGGTTTTACAAAAAAAACTGTAGTGTCCGTAACCACTTTCATTCTGTGAAATTGGAAAGCTCTATAAATATCTTTACTAATTTCCTAGATAGGCATCTCATATAGATGCTGAGATGTTTTGTAATTTTCCTGATCATCAGCACTGTTTGTCTGTTTTCATTACAAATGTGGTTACGGACACTACAAAACCGTGTAGTGTCCGTAACCTGAATTTGAGGCAGTTTGAAACAGGCAGTGTAAAAACACTAATGCAAATTTGTTCACAAGGGTCAGAAGTTTGTTTAACAAGTTAGTCAATGTACTTTATTTTTCTCCCTCATTTTGATATTGCAACTAATTTGGGAAACCCAGATTGCACCATTTTCATATACAAGATCCTTGGTGTTACATCACCTTGATATTGGCAGATGCTATTGACATCCTAGGATTTAAGTCAAATAGCATGTCATTATTTTTTCATTGTTTAAGTCAACTGGTGTTACATTTAAGAAAATCTTGTTGAAATTCCTTTATTTAAGGTATAGTTTTATCCTGTTGTAAATAACTTGTAGAGTGTGTAGTGTCCATAACCAAAAGTTGAAAAATGAAATATCTTTATTTTTTCTCCATAGAATTTACAGATAAATTTTTGAAACAGTGTATTATTGAATTTAGTTTAGTTGCTTATTAGGTAAAATCTTAAAATGTGTTAAATGCAAGTAAATTTGCATTCAAAATGTTAAACAGTCGGGAAGTAATTTGGTTACGGACACTACAAACAATTTCAAAAAAGAAAACAACTAAAATTACACCAATTTCATATAAAGTATTGTATATTTAACAGTTTGAAGAAAAATAGAATGCTTCACAAAAAAGAAAAAATAATTGAAGAAATATTAGTGAGCTTTATTCTTCAAGGTTTGACTTTTCTACTTACACATAACACCTGTCTAAAGTTACATGTGTATATATTTATTAAAAGTATATTGGTTATGGTATGCTTGTAACAGATGAAGTTGAGATCTGAAGAATAAAAAAAACTAGGGCTAATTGTAACGGGGACCGTTACAGATGTTCCCCAAACGCTCCCCAACTCCCTTTTGGTGCCATATTTCCTTAAACTCTATCAAATAAGACATACTTTGTGCAATTTAGACTTAAACAATGTTTTCCCAGAAGACTACGAAATATATTTAAATTTTAGCATTACATGCGAGCTCATGTGAATGCATGTGGGTAATGATCATATCATCTTTTCTACACTATGTATATATATTCAAATAGACTTAATATCAAAGCATTAAATCCAGAAGTATTAAAAAATACACTTATTCAAGCATATTTTTAATTTACTCATTTCACGTTACAAGCATGTGCATGATGACCATACCTTCTTGTATGGGTCCATTATGTCTATCAATATTCTAAATACCATCCTATTTCGTTGAAAACCAAGGGAGTTATAACCATTTAAAGTTTAAGCCAATCAGATTTCAGCGCACGTGCATGCGTGTGATTTAATGACAATTGTTATATATCATATTGTAGGACATCCTATTGTATGCTTATGTTTTAAATTTCGTAGCTTTTCATCAAAGAATGGAAAAGATATTGAGCTTTTTGTTTCAGCCAATCAGAGTGAAGAACACGTGCACGCACGTGCATGACGACCATACCATCTTGTTGGAGTCTATTATGACTGTCTATGTTCTAAATCTCATCCTGTTTGGTTGAAAAACAAGGGAGTTATAGCCATTTAAAGTTTAAGCCAATCAGATTGCAGCGCGGCAGCGCACGTGCATGCGCATGTTTTCACGACAACTGTTATATATCATATTGTAGGACATCTTAATGCATGACTATGTGTAAAATTTCAAAGCATTTCGTCAAAAATTAAAAAAGATATTGCGATTTTTGTTTCAGCCAATCACAGCAAAGCACAAGTGCACGCATGTGCATGCATGTGCATGACGACTTCACCGCCTTGTAGGAGTCCATTATGTCTGTCTATGTTCTTAATCCCATACTGTTTGGTTGAAAAACAAAGGAGTTATAGCCATTTAAAGTTTAAGCCAATCAGATTGCAGTGCACGTGCATGCGCGTGCTTACATGACAATTGTTATATATCATATTGTAGTACATCCTAAAGTATGCCTATGTTTTAAATTTCATAGCATTTCGTCAAAAAACAGAAAAGATATTGAGCTTTTTGTTTCAGCCAATCAGAGCGAAGCGCACGTGCATGCGCGTGAGTTCGTGCTAATTTGACAAGGTCACATTATCTATAGTATTAATATATCTTTATATAATGAGTTTCAAATCATTTCATCAAAAAATGTAAATGTAATAGCTATATTAAGTATATCAGTCAATTCACTCATTTCACGCGCACGCACGTGCATGCATATGCGCGCAAAATAACCTTCGTGTTGCACACCTACACTACACACCTATTAACCCTAAAAAGGTTTTAGCTCAATTGGGTGAACAATTTCTGAGAACACTCGCGGACAAAAAAGTACCGGAGAACAAAGAAGAAAAAAAGAATAATAATAATAACTAGTGCTAATTGTAACGGGAACCGTTACAGATGTTCCCCAAACGCTCCCCAACTCCCTTTTGGTGCCATATTCCCTATAAACTTCATTAAATAAGACAAACTCTATGCATTTGAGACTTTAACAACGTTTACCCAGAAGTGTACCAATTTTAGCATTGCACGCGTGCGCATGTGAATGCACGTGCGTAATGACCATATAATCTTGTCTTCACAATCTATATATTTTAATATACTAAATATCAAAGTATTTAATCCAAACGTATTAAAAAATACGCTCATTCAAGTGTATTTTTGATTTTACTCATTTCACGTGCACGCACATGCTCACATGAGCATGGCGACCATACTTTCTTGTAGGAGTCCATTACATCTATCTATGTTCTAAATCCCACCCCGTTTGGTTGAAAACCAAGGGAGTTATAGCTGTTCAAAGTTTCAGCCAATCAGATTGCAGCACACGTACATGCACGTGTATGCATGTGCATGGTGACCATGTCTTCTTGTAGAAGTCCATTATATCTATCCATGTTCCAAATCCCATCCTGTTTGGTTGAAAACCAAGGGAGTTATAGCTATTTGAAGCATAAGCCAATCAGATTGCAGCGCACGTGCATGCACACGTTTTCAAAATAATTGCTATATATCTTATTGTAAAATATCCTAATGCATGCCTATATTTAAAATTTCAAAGGATTTCGTCAAAAAACAAGAAAGATATTGAGACTTTAGTTTCAGCCAATAAGAGCGAAGCGCACGTGCATGCACGTGAGATCTTGCTTTTTTGACCATGTCATCTTGTCTATGCTTCTAATATATACTTCTAATATGAGTTTTAAAGCATATCATCAATGATTTAAATAGTTACGTCTGTATCAATTATATTGGACATTTCTCGTGTTGCACGTGCGAGCTCTTGCAAGCACACGTGCATGCACATGCTTTCATGATATTTCTTTTATTACGGGCTGTAGATCTCCCTAATGTATGACTATGTTCAAAATTTCAAATGATTTTATCAAAAAACAAGAAAGATATTGAGACTTTAGTTTCAGCCAATCAGAGCGAAGCGCACGTGCTTGCACGTGCGATCTTGCTATTTTGACCATGTCATCTTGTGCATACTATTCATATATCCTTACATTATGAGTTTCAAAGCATTTCGTCTAAAAATAGAAAAGTTACAGTTATATCCATTATATATTGGTCATTTCAAGTTTTGCACGTGCGCGCTCTTGCAAGCACGTGCGCGCAAAATGACCTTGATTCCGCAAATCTACATAACATGCCTACTTACCCTAAAAAGGTTTCCCCTTAATCGGATGTGTACTTTACAAGATCATTCGCGGACAAAATTTTCCCGAGAAGAAAAATAATAATAATAATAATAATAATAAGAAACAGAGTAAAAACAATATGTTCCCCAACTTCGTTTGGGGAACATAATAAGAAACCGAGTAAAAACAATATGTTCCCAAACTTCGTTTGGGGAACATAATAAGGCAGCAAAATTCAAATTCTCATTTCTCTACTAAGATTTTTACATCGGGCTCGGAGTTGGTTTTCTTCAGAAAGACAGGACTGGGTTCAAGGCGACTAGGGGTACCACACCGGTAATTGACCAATCAAAATGAACTTAGTCAATTGTAGGTCCATACATTAAGCCGATTTTCCTTTCTTTTGAGAGTTTTTTTAATTTCCTGCCAGGCCAGTTTGACAACTCTGGTACCTGTGCCTAGGAAATTTTATCTACTCTATAAATAAATAAAGTTTTTTGACAGGAACTATTTCTCCAGGGCATAGGAGGCTACTTCCTGGGG